AGAGAAAATGGGGCAGAAAAATAATAAAGCCCAAACTTTCCAAAAGCTTGGACAAAGTATTTCTGTGTGATATGTTACCCAAAAACTTAGGAAGACTGTAGCAGTGAGAGGAAAGCCTCATTGTCTTACTGTGTTAATGGCCAAGGGCTTTTCCCCCTCAAAAACTGTAGGGATATTCACATTTGTCTCTCACTTTTATGTTAATGAAAAATCTTTTATAGGAAGATAGTAGAGATAAGATAGCCAGAGACCTAAGTTTTATATTGCTTTAGCTGGTATTTTCATTTGTGCTGTAACAGAAATTCTATTTAGTGGTTTAAGCAGAAAATGTAGTTCTACCATTTCCTTTCTATTTTTTATATCACAAGATAATAACACATGACAGCTATTTTAAAAGACCAAAGATTTATTTTAAAATATCTTATTTATTGCACAAGATCAAGTTAGTTGTTTATAGAATAAAATGCTATGGAAGATAGCGGGTGAGAAAAAATAATGTCTTAACAAATGTCTAGTACACACTATGTATACTATATTTGCTTATCTTTAATGATGAAAGAATTAAAGTAAATGCAAATACTAAACCTATATTGAAAAAAGTCAAATTGTCAAAACTTCTACTAGTTCAGTAACTTCATTGTATTCATCAATTATTAAGTTGGAGATTATTGAACTCCAACAAGGATTGTGTTACTGTTTATATCATCTCAGATCAATATTTCTTTTCATTGTCATTTAAAGATTTTTTATATTCACTCTCAAATATTCTTTATAAGATCACCATATGCTTTCAATTTGGCAAACTGTTACTCATATTTCAAAGGGAGACAAACTGAAATATAATTAAGTCAAAGAGATTGCCCCTAACCAAAAAGTAAATAGTAAATACACAAATAGCAAAGATGAATTAGAAGACAAATCTTGGCCAGGTGCAGTGGCTCACGCCTGTAATCCCAGCACTTTGGGAGGCCGAGGTGGGCGGATCACGAGGTCAGGAGATCGAGACCATCCTGGCTAACACGGTGAAACCCCATCTCTACTAAAAATACAAAAAATAAAAATTAGCCGGGCATGGTGGCGGGCGCCTGTAGTCCCAGCTACTCGGGTGACTGAAGCAAACAGTTTCATGCCTACACTCACAACTTCTTGGGAGGCTGAGGCAGAAGGATCACTTTAGCCTAAGAGTTCAAGGCCAGCCTGGGTGACATAGCAAAACCCTATCTCAAAAAAAAAAAAAACAAAAAAAAAAACAAAAAAAAGTTTAAAAAAGTGATTAAATATAACCAGAATATTTATAGATCTATGCAATGATAAACTAAAATTACTTTGTTAAAAATGTGGATTAAACATGGATTTCTGAAAAATAAAATCTGCCTCCTGGGTTCGTTCACGCCGTTTTCCTGCCTCAGCCTCCCGAGTAGCTGGGACTACAGGTGCCCGCCACCATGCCTGGCTAATTTTTTGTATTTTTAGTAGAGACGGGGTTTCACCGTGTTAACCAGGATGGTCTTGATCTCCTGGCCTCGTGATCCACCCGTCTCGGCCTCCCAAAGCACTGGAATTACAGGTGTGAGCCACTGCACCCGGTCCATTTTTCAATTTTAATGGTGATTTAAGGTTGTACATAAACTTTGACCCGTAAAATAATAACAGATTCACTTATTTAATGGCATTAATCATATTCAAATAGGGTCTGTACAGCAATATAAAAGCTCTGGAAAATAACAACGTTAATGGTTACATTACCTTTTAAGATTTGGATGACTTTTCTGAAAGGATACCCAAATTAATTCTCAATCCTTTTAATTATCAATAAGTAAACAAATACTTAAAATTTGATGGAATTCTTACTCATATTTCACTATCCTCTTAAGATTTCAGGAGGCCCACTGATGTTCAGCAATGGTTTCAATAAAAGATAAGGAAAAGTAGAAATTTGATCATATCAGTCCATGTCCAATTAGTATCTAGAAATCACACAGTATTTTGAATAGGGAAAATTAAATATCAAGAATTATTAACAGAAGATTAGAGTAACAAAAAATTGGCTAGGAAGAGTTAAAGAGAAGTATAAGCATTGGAGGAATAGTAGGAAGAGGACTTGGCCACTACACTACAGCTGAGATAGAGTACCCAAGGAAGAGTCAACCATGCCACTTCTGCCCAACCAGACTAAGATTGAGACCTCCTTGGAAAGGGCACAGCTAGAACTCTCCTGAAGGTGGATAAATGGCTGAGGAGCCCTGCTGGTGCAACTTCCTGAAAATCTGCCCTCTGCAGATTTTCCTCTGCAGGGGAATCTATCCTCGGGAAGGTACTGCCCCTCAGAACTTTCTATGAAAGTCACATAAGAAATTCCAAGAGAGGTCATTCAAAGGGAGGTACCTGACCAGCAATATTCTGTCATGAAGGCACTGAAAGAGGTACTGGGGAAAGCTGCTGGCCACTGGTTCCTGTTGCAGGAACCACAATCTGTAGAAGCAGTGCTTTTCAGGGCATATATGCTGGAGAACCCAGAGAAACTGGTGGGCAGGACCGTAGCACTAGAGAAACTACACTCTGTAGGAGCCAAATGATGGATAGAGTTGCATGCTGCAGGAAGCTGACCTGAAGGAACAATAGAACTAAGAAGAAAAACACCCCTTTCTCCTCCAGTGTCCCCCCGGCCTTTTCTCACAAGACTATCATTCTCGCTGGCAAAAGAGAAATATTTATAAAGTCTACTTCCATTATCACATAGCAGGCAAAGGAAGATAGATTTGGGACACAGAGACAATAAATTAAAACCTGGTATATTTGTTTTCCTAACCTAATCAGATTTTACCCTGCTATGCTTTAACACCAAAATCAGGAATTATTATTATTATTATTATTATTATTATTATTATTTGAGATGGAGTCTCGTTCTGTCACCCAGGCTGGAGTGCAGTGGCGTGATCTCGGCTCACTGCAATCTCCGCCTTCTGGGTTTGAGCAATTCTCCTGCCTCAGCCTCCCGAGTAGCTGGGATTACAGCCATGCGCCACCATGCCCAGATAATTTTTTTGTATTTTTAGTGCAGACGGGGTTTCACCATGTTGGCCAGGCTGGTCTCGAACTCCTGACCTCATGATCCACCCACCTTGGCCTCTCAAAGTGCTGGAATTACAGGCGTGAGCCACCATGCCCAGCCTGGAATTATCTGATAATCCGTGTAAAAGTTAAATATATAGGCCAGGCGCAGTGACTCACACCTGTAATCCCAGCACTTTGGGAGGTCAAGGCAGGCGGATCACCTGAGGTCAGGAGTTCGACACCAGCCTGGCCAGCATAGTGAAATCCTGTCTCTACTAAAAATGCAAAAAAATAACCGGGCATGGTGATGTGTGCTGTAATCCCAGCTATTCGGGAGGCTGAGACAGGAGAATCACTTGAACCCAGGAGGCAGAGGTTGCAGTGAGTTGAGATCATGCCACTACTCTCCAGCCTGGTCAAAAGAGCAAGGCTCTGCCTCAAAAAAAAAGAAAAAAGAAAAAAAAGAAAAAAAAAAAAAAGAAATTCATAAAGTACTTTTTTTTCTTCCAGAGATTTTCTTTCTCCTTTTTTCTTAGTTAGGACTTCACCGATTAGTGTTCTTGCAGAAGGCTAAGCCACTTAGTGTGTTGCCATGACAGAGTTCAGCCTCCATATTTGCATGGCTATAGGACTTCCCATTAGGCTTATTTGCTGGCCTTGCTCCAGGCTTTGCCAAATATTGAGTGCTCGGTAACCACTAATTGTATTGTTCTTTATTAAGTGCAAGGTATTTTCACATTGGAACAACACTGTTATTTTTCCAAAAGTAAGCTAGAGACACAGCTAATGTGACAAAGCTAATAAGAGTGAGTGTTGAAATTCCAACCAAAGTTGTGTATTTTAAAATTAGTACTTTTTGTAAGATCCTTGTTAACTCTCAAATTAGTATGACACCTAATAAAGAAGTCAAAAAGGCAAAATATTTGCAAAATAGGGTATTTTAGAAAATGCAAAGTAAATTACAATTTCCTCTAAGTACTCCAGTACAGGAAGGTTAGCCCAAGGTTATGATCAACATTTTTCCAATTTTGGTTTGGATAAAAAGCATGAAAACTGGGACAAGAGTTTTAGCAGTGGTTTTAGCTACTCACTAGGAAGATGGATCTGATTTTCACTTCAGGTTGAATTCAGTAGTTCGACTGAAAATTTGAATTCACAGAAAATGCTAATTTACCATAACCTATTGTGGATTATGTAGGCCTATACACTGAAAGAATATTTGTGTGTGTGTGTGTCACTTTTTTTTCAAGTAAATTAGCCTGATGAACAATATTAAAAGGTGCAATTTCATTTTATTGCTGTAATCATTTAAAAGACAAGGTTAGAGAAAGGACAGGAAAATATCAAAGGTGATTTTAGATTATTTTTCAATAATAAGTTAAAGAAACATTTATAAAGAAAGAAAATTAAATTGTAGTTTACCGGTGAATGGATAAATGTATTAACAATCTTGATAATTTAAATGACAAAAGAAAATAAACGTGAGTGTTGATAATCATAATTAAAAGTGTACTATATTTACTAAGCATTAGCATGACTGGCATGTCTACCATGTAGTAATTGACCTAATTCATCATCTCATTTTGACTTGACACTCAGGTTATAACATCTGTAAATATTCACTCTAAGCAGAAGATGCACAGTGAGATTTGCAGAGTGATGTCATAGTTCACCCTTTATGGCCTTTCAGCCTTGTTCAATCAGCATTTATCCCTGGACCTCAAATCATCATCACATAAGGCTATATTCCATCAGTGCTCCCATAATCCTGGGGCAAGGGAGCCCCTGTTAAAACTGGAAACAAATGCTTGGTGTGTTTGAGCTAATGAGGTACTACTGACTTCTACTCTATGACAATTGACCATCATAATGTACCTATCTGACTGGTCTGAGCACATTTTAGAGAAAGCCAGGGTAAACTGGATTCTTTTTTTTTTTTTTTTTTTAGTTTTGAATTTTATTGTGGCTAACACATTAGATGCATTATTAAGGTTTGACAATATGGTGACTGCCTATAAAGACTTTTGCAACCAGTGCCTGTAACCTTCATTCCAAATGAACGTTCTTGTGATGGCTCCAATGTTATAGACAAGCATTAACAGCCAAAAAGAAAAAAGGAAATCTCCTTATGGTGTGAAAGGCCTCTCAGCTGCAGCTGCCCTGACACCCAGACGAGCCCTCCCAGCTGCAGAGGGTGATTTCAGTCCATGTCAACTCTCCTGCTTGTCTTTACAGCAGAATGAATTCTCTTTTGTCTCAGCCTTTCCCGATTCATGTTTTCTATCCTGATTCTCTGAAGTTTAACATCTTCTTTTGTTGGCTCCTTGGGTGTCTCGCTGGCCTCAGCGATCATGTCTCGAATTTTCTGCAGGCAGTCTGCCAGATTCCGGAACTGATAGCGGCTGCTCTCAGAGGTGAGGATCAACTCTCCTAACCTGTTGATCTTGTTTTTATGCATGATGGCTATCTTCTGCCGCACAGGCTCTGCGATCCAGTCGGCAGTTGCCAAATGGAACCTGACTTCCGCCTTGGAATTCACTTTGTTCACATTCTGCCCCCCAGGACCACTACTCCGACAATAAGATATTGTCAAGCGATTTAGAGGGATGTCACTGTCGGCTTGCTTTGCACCATCCGGGACCCTCCAAGCGGTGTCCGAGCCCTGAGATTCGGGGTAGAGCTTGTCCAGGCTGTAGATGCTCTTGAACTCAGTGCCATCTTTCTGCTTGTGCAGCGCCCGGCGTGGGCACCGTGTGGGCGGTGGGAGCAGCCAGACTCCGGCTCGGTTCAGGCTCCAGCGCAGGCACCCGGTGGCCGCCATGCTTGGGTCTTGCGACTCTAAACTGGATTCTTAATAGCACATTTAACAGAAGTCAGTCAATAGAGGTTAGCATAATTCTCAGTGTGCAGTTTTAAATTGTAAACAGTTTTAGAGTGACCATTTCCATAACAGACTGGACTGATGTGCCACACAATGGGCTTTTGGCCTTCCTAGCAGATGGGCCTCCTTTGGTTTTGGTACTGAATACAGCATTAGTTGAAAGTGCATTCAGTTCAGAATAGAATGGCATTTTTTTTCTTTTTTTTTTCTTTTTTTTGTGGAAAAGCTGGCTTATTGTTTGATTCAGACAAAGAATCCTTTATCTGTTGAGTGACTTGTCATCTTATGTAGATGTAAGCTATGTAAAGAATGACTTTTCATTAAAGCAAGTTTAGCATATTTGCAATTGTCTTTGGTCAGATGGGAAAGTTTCTGGCTGAAATAGTGGAATTATATCCTGCGGTTTATGCAATCCACAAGTTGATTCTATGTGAGAAAGCAAAAATAATAATAAGAAAAGAGTTTTGTTTTTTGTTTTCTGTTGTTTTTTTTCCCCCTTGGCTCCACAGAATAACTGTGCCAAGCAGCAATTTTAGAACATATTGAGGAAAATCCACTACTTGTACAGGTGGCAAAATTCACCAAGTTATATGGGGACAAATTCCTGAATTTGGCTCACTCTACATTTTAAAAAATTATTATTTTCTTGCCAAGCTTCTGTCATTTTCCTATGGACTAACAGGTATCAGTCCTCATTAAACCCTCCAATGCTGCTTCTGACATCTTACCCTGAACCTACTGCTTGCAAATAAACTTTATAGTGTTCCTGCATGCTCCAAATCATCTTGTATGCAGTATTCTTGTTGTTCCCTTTTCACTGCCAACAATATGGTGTCCTCTGCAGGCCAAGAACTTCTACAATTGAAAAAATCAACTGGAGAAGGTCTGACAACGGTGGCACAGTCCTGCAGACAAAAACTATTTTTCCCAAGCACACCCCTAACCACTGAGAATCCTTCAAAATTCTCAGTATTTTTTGTCCTATGTGTGCTCCTTCACCATTGGTATCTGATATGGCTTGGCTGTGTCCCCACCCAAATCTCATCTCGAATTATAGTTCCCATAATCCCCATGTGTCATGGGAGGGACCAGGTGGAGATAATTGAATCATGGGGGTGTTTTCCCCCATCCTATTCTCATTAGAGTGAGTTAGTTCTCATGGGATCTGATGGCTTTATAAGGGGCTTCCCCCTCGCTAAGCACTTATTTTTCTCTCTTGCTGCCATGTGAAGAAGGAAGTGTTTACTTCCCCTTCTGCCATGATTGTAAGTTTCCTGAGGCCTCTCCAGCCATTTGGTACTGTGAGTCAGTTAAACTTCTTTCCTTTATAAATTACCCAGTCTCAGGTATGTCTTTATTAGCAGTGTGAGGATGAACTAATATAGTATCACTGGAGAACTGGGGAAGCCACTAAGAAACCCATTCCAATTTGAACCATCAAACCATTTTGCACTATTCTACCCTGCCAAATAGCCCCACTAAGGGCCATAGGAAGGTGGAAAGAGCTCAACAGATCGGTCTGGAAACATATATCTCCCAGAAGGGGCCAAAGACCCACAGATAACCTTGATCCTGCCCAGAGACCTCAAGCACCTCCATCCTCTCAAGCAGCTCAGCCTACATCTCAGCTGTAGGTAATGTGCTACATGCCTCCATCAGGAGCTACACATTTCGCATAGACACAATTTTGAACATCAGAACACCAGAAGTCATGGGGCAGGTTAAAAAAAAATTATGGTAGAGAAATATGGCCTGCTCTGGTGGTATTTCTCCATGATTTCTGTACTGCTACAGAACAACTAGAATATTTCACACTTTACATAATGAACTTTGTTTTCTTTTACATTTTCTATTTGATGTCATTTCAGGTCCCCTTTTTCCCCTTTCCTGATGTTTAATGCTATGCATTGAACTTATGTTGTGAGACACATTATAAGGTAAGGATCATGTATTATGGAATAGTCTCTTTCTCTTTGTGTCTCTCTCTATGCCTCAGGACTAAGCCATTCATGGGCCAGATTGATGCCTCTTTCTAGGAATAGAAAGAGGACCTGCAGGAGACAAGCTCTAGACTTTTCCTTCTGCTCCTCTTAATAGTTACCTATAACGATGTCCTGTTCTCACATTGTGATCACCAGCTCAGTGTATCAACTCATTTACTAAAACATATTCTCATCCAAAAATGGCTTAATGTAATTAAAATATACCTATCTCCATCAAAGAAATCCCTCACAAAAGTTTCTCTTTGAAGTGGATGCCAGTGTCCATTATGATAGATGGATACTGGAGAGAGTTGTAGTTCAGGCATTTTCTTAGAACTCTGGATTTAATAATGTAAGAATCTACTAATCCCTGTTTTGATGCATATTTGTTTTTATCTGTCATAAAATTCTTTTATCTCTATGGCAAGAATATTTACTTCCTGAGTTAATTCACCAAAATACAATTAAAACACAATTCACTAATTGTCAGGCATAGCCTTTTAACCAGATCAGACTGAATTACTGTAGGAACTTTAAATTGTTTCTTCTAGTTCAATGGTTCTCAAGTTTAGTGTGCATCAGAATCACCTGGAAAGCTTATTAAACCACAGATTGCTGGGTCCTGTTCCTAGAGATTTTAATTCAGTAGGTCTGGGGTGGGTCCCCATAATTTACAATTCTAACAAGTTCCCAGGTAATGATGCTGCTGGCCCTAGGTCCATAGTTTGAGAACAGCTGGTTGACTACATAAGCAAAAAGGGTTAAGAGTAAAGAATTTAGTGGTATTATACTTGGTATGTTCAAATTCCAATATCAACCATGGTAAGTTTTGCATAGCTTAGTAACTTACTAACATAAACCACATATTACATTTAAGTTTGTACTGTTAACTGAAATTAAATTATTTTTGTTTGGATAACCTTAGATCTGTGTACACAATTTCACAGGAAAATCACTGCATACTTCTTCATATTGTTCTTTCAGGTACCCTCTCTAAGGTAAATAATTTATTTTCAAATTTCTCCTTGTGTTCCATTTGAATTTGCCGACATAAGCTCTCTTTTTTTTCTTTATAAAGAATTCTGGTTACATAGGTGATTGTGAAATCATTTGGAAATGATGCCCTGTTTTCATCCTAGCTGTCAGCTATAATACTCTTAAGATAACACAGGCCTCTAAAAGGGAAAGAGACTGAGGGCAATTGGGCAATCAGTTACTCATCTTTGCACACCCCATCTCCACTCTGAAATTGTACACCACAGACAATTGTACACCACAGTTATTTTAATTATCACTTGAATTCCTTCTTGATGTTTTAAACATAATTTTGTTTGGGACAAGGTCTTGCCCTGTTGCTCAGGCTGGAGTGCAGTGGTGCAATCATGACTCAACTGCAGCCTCAACCTTCTGAGCACAAGTGATCCTCCCAAACTCACGCGATCTTCATTTCAGCCTCCTGCGTAGCGAGGACTACAGGCACAGTGTACCACCATGCCCAGCTAATTTGTCAAATATTTTGTAGTGATGGGGTCTTGCTATGTTTCCCAGGATATTTACATACTTTTTAATTCCAGTATTCACAATATTATGCCTCATAAACATTATCCTCAGAACTCATGAGATTCCTCCCTCCCTCCACCAAAGGAAACCAGAATTAGGGAAGCCAAATTAACCTTTGCTGACAGCAGTTTCTTGCAAAAATTTCTACTAGAAGGCTTTTCACTTTGTCATAAAATGGATGAAGGAGAAATTTCATTCTGTTTCTCACTACTAATACTAGCACTTCTCTACAATGTCATTGATCAAATAAAATGCCAAGTTGAGATCACATTACAACTTTCAAAACAACAGCACTGCAAAACTCATATAATTGTGTTGGATAAACAGGTAATGTTATTACATGTCACGTAGCAAGAAACTACTATTTTCTGCCTTTGTGCAGGTGAGTGCTTAAAATATGTAGCACCCATGTTAATCAATCTTTCAGAATATTTAAAAATAGAAATTTCATTCCAGAAAACTTGGAAAATATAAAAAAGCACAGGGAGTAAAAATAAAAATTATCTGTAAACTCTACACTCAGAGATAAGTATGCACTTTATACAGGGGTGTAAAAAATTGCACTTTATACAAGGACGTCAAAAATAAAGGGACCAGAAGAGAATATTTCACTGAAAACAGTTGCTGAGTTCAGATTACTACCCTGTTAGGGAAAAGAAAAAGAAGTATTTCCCTTCTTTTTCTTTTCTTTTTGAGAAGGAGTCTGCTCCATTGCCGAGGCTGAAGTGCAGCGGCATAATCTGGGCTCACTGCAGCCTCCATCTCCCAGGTTCAAGCGATTCTTCTGCCTCAGCCTCCTGAATAGCTGGGATTACAGGCACGCACCACCACTCCTGGCTAATTTTTTTGTATTTTTAGTAGCGACGGGGTTTCACTATGTTGGCTAGGCTGGTCTCTAACTCCTGACCTGAGGTGATCCTCCTGCCTGCCTCTCCCCAAGTGCTGGGATTACGAGCACAAGCCACCGTGCCAAGCTGAAGTATTTCCCTTCTATCTCAAGATGTGAAAAGGCTTTAAAAGGACCTGGTAGTAATTGATACGTATTTTCTGAGATGTGAGAGCACACAGGGACTGGTGCTTGAAATTCACCAAGAATTGAGAAGACTAAATTCAAGTCTGTGACAGGAGAAAATAAGGATGACAGAAGGAACTACTCCTCTGTTTAGTATGGCAAGAGCACAAGAAGTCTCTCGAGGCCCAAGTGGATCCTACTAGAGGAAAGTGGGATGGAGATACCTTGAAGGCATCTCAGCAATAAGCGGCTGTGGGATGTACCATCGGGGTAGGAGCTAGTGGGAGAGTGCTGTGCCATGTTGGAGACCTACACCACCTAAACAACCCCGTAATGAACATCCAGAGAACACCAACAGTTTCCAGGAAGGGACTATTCTAGATACCCACCTATCTAGATACCAAAGTATGCCAATGCCAAGTT